AAAGTGGTGTTGCCTTCGACTGTCATCTTACGATGGTTTGAATTTAATTATTGACTATAAACCAATATCTGCATGGAAGTGCAGCTAACAAAATGCTCTTTTTAGACGTAGTGTCTTGACACCAACTCTGTTCTTGCTTCCCAAGTTACCCCATCGGACTGCAAACAGTAGAAACGCAAGGAAAGGAAAGTCATGGCTGCAGTATATCTCGCTAAACACCAGCGTGATGCAAGCTCCAAAAAGTCGGATTGGAGTTCCAAGACTGCTACATTCATTACTGTAACTGTTATTGTTTGCATATATGTTTCATATGTCTGGTCTCTCTTTTCGGCCATCTTTTGTGACGTTACCTACCAATTAAAAAAAAAGTTTACCTCAACAGCTCTGTCAGCGTTGCAGCCACACGTCTCAGTGAATCCCCCAAAGTGAGCTGCAAGGCATGAAACTGCACACCGATCTAAGCACAGTTGTCTCTTTTTTAACCTCCCTCTCTCTCTCTGTCTGCTTCCCTTTCACTCACGCTCATCGTCTGTCATGAACACAAAACACATATATGCACATTCAATTTCCCCGCACACACCTCCCTCTCCCTGATCCTCCACCCTTCCCAACACACCCAATATCACTTAAGAGCCGACCGCCAGATCCCACTTTTCACCGCAGAGCTGTGGATTAGAAAAGAAGGCATTTCCCAAATGGTCTGCGGCTTTTGTGATGACATGATTGTCATTCAGCTTAATTCCCCTCTGTACTCTTTAGATGTGCACTCGTCTGATTCTGCCTCTACAGTGAATCACCCAGAAAAGGTAAATAACAGTTTAAAAAACACACGAGGCTCCTGTACAGACTTGCTCCCTGGAAAGGCATCTTTTTTTTTATTGCCAAGATGAAAGACACATTGAAAATAGTTGTGTGCAGCTGGTTTCTAACTGGTGTGGAAGGCTTGCAAGCATTACTGTTTATTTGAGAAATATTTCTAGGGTGATATCGATATACATGCATTTTTACTGAACGTCCTGGCTTTGCTTCCAGTCTCATGAAATCGAAATTAATCGCAGCAGATATAAATGACTCTGTTGTTGAACTGAACGCTTTAGCTTTGTCTATAATGCTTCAAGGCCGTCCAGCCTGGATGTTGTGTAAACCGCTAAACATCTTCCCTCTCTGATCTTTTGCACATTCATCCATTCAGTGATGTCTCTATTAAGCCGCAGGGCGACTCTGAAGTTCTGCTGGAGGCGAAAAAAGATCGATACACCTGTGAGAAGGTGGTGCGACATGAGGGATGAAGGGTGGGAGGAGAAGAGGAAGATGTCAGGAGAGATCAGAGTGTTTTTTATTCAGCCCCTCTATCCATCATTCTCTCTTCGCTTTGCTTACGTCTGCAGATGAAAGTTTTTGGGGAGGCTCCAGGAGAAGGGCGGGACTCCACAGTCGCTTTGTTGTCGGCTTTTGTCCTCAGTGATCCCCGCTACCTGAGGGCTCAAACACTGAACATCTAATGTAGCAGGGTGTGTGTGTGCCATCTTTGATTTCTTCAAAGGAGCTTCCCTTCAGATGCAACAATATGAGGATTAAACTTTTTTTTTTCATAACCGCCTTGAGCTTAATCTCTACCAACAGATTCTGCATGAGTGCAGAATAGAGACACATTTTTGGGTGTGTGATGTAGGGATGTGCGTGATTAGGTGACCAACGATTTAATGTCTTCACTGTTGCTAGTTGACACCAGAGTTAGCCGGTTTAACTAATTATTTATATTTGTATTAATTCAGGCCCGCAATGCTGGTCAAATGTTGTGTCTAAGCTGTAATGCAGCTGTCCACCACTAGCTGGGGGATTTATTTTTGGGCTTTTTCGTGCCTTTAATTCAGAGAGAGGACAGTGGATAGAGTTGGAAACCAGGGAGGGAGAGCGGGGAGTGACATGCGGAGGGGGGCCACTGGTGGAGGTGAACCCGGGCCTGCCGCTCGAGAGTCTCAACACTTGGGACGCGTGCCCTGCCACTGCGCCACCAGCGCGCCCCAAGGCTTGGAGTCTTTACAGTTGACTTCAACTGATGAGCATAGCAATGCATGAAGCAGGCCTTGTCGCTGCTATGTTTTTACGATGGCTTGAAAAGAATCCAGACGTCATATTCTTCCTCCTTATACCTCTGACACCAAGGCCATTCTTGTCCAATGTCTCCATGAGGGTCTTTAGCATGCACTAAATCAATTAGGCACTCCTGTATCTGACCGTCTTTGCCAACAAATCGAAGAGGATCAACTGGCCCTGTTCAGAGGAGTCTAGAGTTGTATCAAGGTGGAAAGAGAAGAATTTTGCCTCTAACTAAGTTTCCAAGGCATGAAATCACCCCATTAGGACTCTGTATAGAAAGACAACTGGGGACACTTGAGAATTTTTTCTTGCAAAGCATCTTCAGTGATTCCCCTGAACACAGCTGTTTTTTTAAAGTCTCTGATTCATTAAGTCCTCAAAAGAAAAGATAAAAAGGTGCTGCTCACAAATCCTAAAAGGTACAATTAAACTAAAATGGCCGTTAAAGGTTATGTGATACTCATCTTTAATTTGGTCTTCATTGATATTCTTACCAGACAAGATAATAAGGTTGCATTAATAGGAAACTGCAGCCGTGCCTCTGCACAGCTACACGAGTATCTCCTGGGCGGCGGCGGTTACAAAGATCTGTCATGAAGCCTTAAAAGATTCAGCCGGGTATCTTGCGGCTATCGCAAATGGCCGACAGCTTCCTTCTCATCCTGGCAGCTACCAAACGAGAACGGAACAATCTGCTTTTTTCTGAGGAGGATTGGTAATTTGCTGTAATGGCTGACACATGTACAGGCCTCTAGCTATGGAAATCTCTATCAGTGCACACAGGGATGCAGCAGCAACAGCAGCACACCTGCAGGCTCCAGCGGTTGGAAATGAAGTCTGGGCTGCACACATGCATGCTTAAATGCCAACACGTGAATGTAAATGTAGACATAGATAAAGATGTATGCATACAAAACATTGACAGAGATACATCCAACCTTAATCCTTCACACACACACGCAGTTCAGAACTCGCATGTAGCATTTGTTTCCTCAACACTGCTGCGGCCTGCTTGTTTCTTTAATCTTTCTGTTTATATTTCTGCGTCCAGACCTGTCAGTATAACTCCAGCTAGAGCAATTAGCACGAGGGAAAAGCAAATAAGAAGTCTGATGAAAGCAAAACCCGGATCCTGACCTCATTCTGACTGAATCTGCCCGCTTTACCCAGCACACGCTCATTTCCAAAGCTGTGAATTCCTCAGTGCCAGACTGGCCTCTCTTTGGATGGATTTACAATGGCTGTTTGTCCCTCAAGACATATCATTATTCTATATTTGCCTGGGTCATGTCAGTATATCCACAGACCTTTGTTTTAGGAGCCTTTATTTTCAAACATCTCAGAGGAAGTGAAGTGCAATCACAGGCTTTTAAAAAGTTTAGATTTACTCACACAATTGTTTGGACTGTCTGGGATGTACGATCATTTTGTTCTCTTGTCAGATAAACACAAATGAATGGTACTCTTATGTGTGCACAAAATCAAATCGACAACAAAAACACACCTTGGAATTAAGACACAAACACACAAAGAACTTGATTGTCAAACAAAGATCAACGATTCCTCGTTTACAAGACAATGGATTTAGCTGTAAACGGTAACCATTGGTTGTGTACGTGTTTGCTGTTTGTGTTATTGGTCCCCATTTTTCAAAAACTATCACTTTAAGAAGAGAAACATAGCTCAGGTCTTCTCTCTTTGACATCTTTTCATGGCTTTGACTAAGGTGGGCATATATTCTTTTTCCTGTATGACGGTTAATTTAACTATTACGAAAGTCTTTTTTCATACAAGTATCTGCTACTCTACTTGAGCAAAGCACCTCTGATTAGCTCTGTCTGAACTGCACTGTGCCCCAGGTGTGCAAGTATTTGTGCACCTTTTTCTCAGACGGATTATCTCAGCCTCCCCTCACCTCTCTCTTTCCATCCCCTCATCCTTTCAAACAGCTGCTCGGTGTGTTAGTCAAGTTCAAAGTCTGAACTCTGTCTCTTTGCCAGAAGAAACCCTACACCTGCTCCAGCTTTCCAAAGTCAGGGGGAAAATATCTCAGAGAGGATCCTTCCTGCACAGCCCCAAAGATGAGAAACTCAGGGTCAGATACTGTATTTATGTCCCCCCCCCCCCTTCACTTCAGGCCTATTGTTGTGCAAGTTTGTGTAGGAGACTTGTCACTATGTCGGCTTTTCTTGTTGGTTCAGTGTTGGCTCTCAGGGTGCAGAGAGAGTACAAGAGGTTTTGGATGGACGTCCTCAGGGCGTCTCTTATTCACAGAGCTGACTGAGATATCTATCACACGGGTTCAAAGGGGCAAGGAGGCTTGTCCTCTGCGGGGTCTGCTCACATTTGTACAACACCGGTATCGGAATAAGTTCTATATGTCGACTTCTATTGCAAAAAGTGGAACAAATTATTTAGAAGTCCTTAACTCCTGTTTCTAAATTGGACTTTGACTTAAAATCACAGTTGGAAAAGCAAGAATAAGCAGTGTTTCCAAATATTTGTGCATCAAATGATTTTACTGTGAAAATGTATTTAAATAATGCGTAATTCCTTATAAACAGGAATAATACATACACATGTTTGCCATAAACACCAACGACAAGCAGAGCCTCTATATGTAGGCTTGTTTATGTGTAGCATGAGGAGGGAGGGGTGGAGTAAGAAATGGGCGTAGGAAAGCAGAGGAGAAACCTTGAATGAGAGATTAGTAGACCTCACAGTGAACAGATGCAGCAGACTGGAAGTCTCACCTGACTCCAAATAACTTTTCGTGTTTAATGACAAAACTTTCTCCATCATAAGGGATTATTTCTGTTGTTTCCAGACAAAAAAGAGGCAAAGATTATGAAGGACGGGTCCAGTGTGCCGGACGCTCTCAGTGTGGTGCATGACTTTTGCGCAACAGGTTCTGGGAGATAAAATCAAAAGTTTAACTCCGATCAATGTAGGAAGAAGAAGCATGCTGTCTCCGTTTCGGCTCTTTGGCACTGAGCAGGAGATCAACTCATGGGATGTAGTGGCTGCAGAGTCAGGTTCAACTTTGGAAAGGTGCTGTCCAAAGTCTCCGTGTTTTTTACCATGGTCCTGATCTTCACCTACTTCTTCTACTGCCTCACCGGATTCTGCGATTCCGCTCCGAGGACTTTATACAGACAGCAAGCTTTGGAGTATGACGTTTTGGGCGATCATCGCAGCGTCCTGGACGACCTGCGACCTCCGGCGCGCCTCCTCCCCGACGCGCCAGCTCTTCGGAACCGCACAGTGGCATCCTCCACGGACGCAGGGCAGGTGGACGCGCCTGGACAGCTGCCTCCTCTCAGCGACAAGGGGAGCGCCCCGAGCAGCGGCATGCCCGTTTCCAACACTTTCGGGACAAAAAGGTTCCCGCAGGCGATTATAATCGGCGTGAAGAAAGGAGGAACCCGCGCCCTGCTGGAGTTTCTGCGCATCCACCCGGACGTGAGGGCGGTCGGCGCGGAGCCTCACTTCTTCGACAGGTTTTATGACAGAGGACTGGAGTGGTACAGGTAGGGGACACACAAGCACACATAGACCCAAGTACACGCTAGTTTGGTTTATATTTTGCCTCAGTAAAGCAGCAAAACAAAGACCTTTGGAAACCACACAGGAAATTGTAACTTAAGTAGTATTTCAAATAAAGGCACACGTGATAATAAAGAGTTTTAATATTTGCTCTAACCTTTTATAACCACTGCTAGATTGACAATCATCATTCTTATTACTGCCTTGCTTCACCCTAAGCCTGATGTCTCCTTACAACTTTGTCTGCACCCTGTTTCACTCTGCATTTGGCGTAACTGTTGCGCGTATGTGTGTCCTGATTTTCCTCTCGTCCATGTCAAAACTGTATTCCCACAAGGAAGAATTGTAATCAGAGATATTCACAACAACATTAAGAATTACGTTATTTTTGCCAAAATCCCCCCCCCCCAAAAAAGTTCAACAACTGGATTGTACGGAAGGCCGAAGGGGACATGCATCCAACATTTTAATTTAACAACATTTTCCTGTAAAATTAGTACATTTTACTTGGTTTCTTGAGATCTCAACTCAATAAGTCAACTTACTGTCTCAAGTCTCAACCCATTACCTTGGGATAATGCTGGTTTCCTTGTGATAACAGGATAATTTCATTCTTGAGAAATGAACTTGTCATTATGGGAAACCAGCGTTATTATCTTAAAATAAAGAGATATGTTAGCTAAGATCTAGAGAGAACAAGAACATTTCTTGGAGTTAAATCAAAATGTATTGATAAATGTCTGCTTAGGGCTTCTAGAGAATTGCATTCTCTAGATTTTCCTTGAAAGATCTATCTATCTATCTATCTATCTATCTATTTATCTATCTTTACATGCTATCTCAGCCTGTAGGGTCAGATCACCTGCAGAAGTGCTGATACAATCTGCCAATAAGCTGCAGACATCATTCACCAACAGACTGAAATTCAGATCACTAAAAATGCCGATATTCTCCCTGCACGCTGCACTGTAGATGAAGAGGCGTGAGCAGGTCTCCATGGAGCTGTTCATCATCCTGACAGTCGTCTAAACACTGTCTATACACTTCAACATGACATCCTTTATTAACATCCCCACCTTGTTCTGAGTGAGAAAACATCACAGTGAATATTCCTTTATATTTGACACGCTAAAAGGATAAAACCCGGCCTGATTCACTTAATTCATGTTGGGTAATCGCTGCACAAAGAATAAAGTTTTATGGTTTTAGGCACATTAAAAGTTCACGGGCTACTTTAGATCTGACAGCAGCTGATTTGTGCTGATCCGAGCTGTAATTAAGGTCGAGTTCAGATCCTGAAGAAGCGGGATTAAGGTCTGGATGAAGCTGGTCCTGATCATCTCCAGATGTCCCTCGAGCTCCTGGAGAAGGTCCCAGTTTACGTTTAAACGCCTCATCATGAGTCAGAAAACTATTTCAGACCTGTGAGCATTTAATGTGCAAAAAAAAAGAGAAACAATTGATCTGCATGATAGATTTAATGCAATGTTAAAATAAATCCAACTTAATTTATGTCTAAAATAAAACATTGGCCGTGTTTGTAACGAGAAGATAGGACACATGGAAACACTTTCATTTTAGTCTGCTGCTAAGCTTCCTCTCTAATTTCTCATAAACACACACATGCACCACATGCACACACGTTTGCACCCTTCTTCTTCAAAACTTTCTCTCCTCTGCTGTCTTTCTTTACTGCTTTCTTCCTTCTTTCCAGATTCTTCTGTCTCCTTTCATCCAACCTTCTCATCCCCCAACTTCCCCCCTTTCATCTATCTTCACTTCTTCTCATTCTTTTATTTTAATGTCTTTAAGTCCTAATACATGTGGCTGAGCTGGCATGTTTTTATTTGTTTTAATTAGTCTGACTGCTGTTGTAAAGCTGTAACGCAGCGGCCACACTAACATGGTCTGTGAAATTAACTTCAGTCATAATAAGGTTTGAAATGCAATCAATCTACTGATTAGTTCTAAGTTAATTAACATTATTTATCCTAGGTGACTTATTGAGAACGCTTGTTTTCTTCAATTAAATGCATGAAAATACAGAGTTATCTATTTTTAACATGGCGAAGAAGGAAACTAATCATTAGATTTTTAGAAACATGATCAACAATTATTTCATCTTTTGCTTTAAATAATTAATTCATTAGCAAAATAGTTGTTTTTAAAGCTCCTATGAGGAGTTTAAGCTGGTTTTGAAAAAAAAGGAGAAGAAGAAAAGCCTCTATAAAAGCAAATGAGACAATGCGTGACGAGTACTGGTCAATTATGTACTGTGTTTTTTTTAATGCCTTCAAACGTGCACTTGGGTAGGCGTCAGATGAGGTGAGGTACAGCTCGCTGAAGAAACAGTCTTTTTATTTTTTCGCATTTTCCACTGTGAATATCACAACCAGCGATGCTTTTGACTGTGCAAAAAACCACCAAAAGGACAAAATCTGCAAAGAAATACAATAGACAGGGTGCGTCCCTCACAGGAACTTTAAGTTGATTAATATGGTTTGTTTTCTTTAAGAGGACTTACATTTAGTGAAGTGAACAACAAATAAAACAGAGTACTAAAAAATCAGTGTAAAATGTAGAATTCTACTTCTACTAAATGTTCGTCTTTTATTTCGTTTTAATCCTTTCTTCCTAATCTGAATGGATGAAAAAAGAGGGGCGAGAGATTGAAGTATGAACACAACAATAACAGAGGCAGCAGTAACGTGACCCGACTGAAATCACTGTAAGATGATTCCTCCTGTTGTCGCTGAAGCTGAGAAACTGGGAGAAATCTGTGTGCTGTCATCTGCAGTGACCCACACACACAAGTAGTGGAAGTGTGTGTGTGTGTGTGTGTGTGTGTGTGTGTGTGTGTGTGTGTGTGTGTGTGTGTGTGTGTGTGTGTGTGTGTGTGTGTGTGTGTGTGTGTGTGTGTGTGTGTGTGTGTGTGTGTGTGTGTGTGTCAGTGTCAGTGACAGTGACAGCCAAAACTTATCCATGTGGAACCAACAAGTGCTCCTTCACCTGCCTGTCAGTGAGCAGAGGGTCAACTAACTGTCACATCTGGAAACACACACACACACACACACACACACACACACACACACACACACGCGTACAAAAGACTGCTGTAGGCTCTGAAAAGCAGCCTTGAGCTTCGACATGATATCTCGTTGAAGTTCCCGGCGCTTCAGCTGCAGCTTTCAGGGTCAACAGGTTTATTTTTCTATAAACTCACAGATGTAAATATTCCACCAGATCATTAATTTAATCTCAGTATAGCACCGATCAACCTACATTTTATTATGAATTTATCGACCCTCCTGTTCTACATGACCTTTGCATCCTTGTATATCAGCCGGAATCAATATGAGAATCTCAAAATTGTTAATCACCCTGCCATAATTCTATGACTTTGATGATTGATCAGTTTTTTTTATAATAACTTCATGTCCTGCAAAAGAATAGCCAAACCATTACAAGTTTCAAGACAATGTATAACACATTACGAACAATAAAATGTGTTACACCTGTTCACTAAGCCAGCATCGATGCAGACTCGCTGTTGGAGGGTTTAACAACCCACTCCGACTCCACCCTCCGACTCCACCCTCAGAGGTTTTGGGCAGCGCTCGGTGTGGCAGGCCCTCGATGCGAGCGCGCAAACGGAGTGGAAGTGTGTCGGGAAAGGGTGGAGGGAGTGGTTTGAGAAAGGCCCAATATGTGTGGAGGAATGTAGAAGATCTGCTTGCCCTTTTCACATATACACTCCTGAGAATATCTAGACAATTTCAGGAGGACTGCTCCAGATATTCTCCTGACCTGGCTGTTCACATATGCACCTCACAGCTTGGAGACTATCCCTGTCAGACAGGAGGGGGGGCAGGGGGTAATAGGTGACGTTAAAAAAAAGAGCAACTGAGTCCGCTTTACGATGCTATAATGAGAGTTTTTGCCTTTATATCAATGCTACTTGTTGTTCGGAGGAATCACAATGTCAACAAAAGCAGAGAACAACTAACTGATGAACAAAAAATCTAATGCAGCCGTTTATTTACATGCGCTGAGATCGTAGCGGCCGTGTGCAGACAGTTAATGTTATGACTCCAGTCACAGTATTGTGGCTGTTTGCGTTCACACATGCAGCTTCTCCTGGAAATATCAGAAGTGTGAAAGCCCTAAAAGAGAGCAGGTATTCATCCGTCTGTATAATCTCTACAAGAGTGAGCAAACCACCACGCGTTGAATATTCATGTTACATTTGATGGCAGCGTGGTGTTATGTGTGTTACAAATAAATCTGTTAGGTTCATTTAATCAGGACAAAAAAACAAACTAAATGAAAACAAAGGCTTTGCAGAGGACACTCCAGCATTTCTAACAACAAATGAGACTCTTACATTAAGTAATTGCTGACAACCTGCACACTGGAGACATTTCACAAACACATCATTGCCCTCTCATGCATATTGTTCCAGCATTATCGTCTGAGACAAACTTAGACCACATTCACGAGTGTTTTCCATTTTCTTTTTATCTGATGCAGTCACTCCGTCCTCTCCAGTCGGTCTGCCTCTTTTGCATGTGAGCATCCGAGCCCATTACGGGAATGGAAAAGCCACGAATAGTGCAGTCAGAATGAGGCAAAGCTTTAATGAATTTTCTGTGTTCTTGTTGTTTTTAATGGCTTTAAGGGGACTTCATGTAGTGATGAGTTTCATATGAGACTTGAGAGCCACCGCAGGAAAGAGAAAAACCTCCGCTTTCCACGCTACAATGGTTCTGATTGTCGCGGCTTTGTCACCATGACGTGGTGGAATGAGTAATCCACGCATTAAGTCTTGTTTTTTTTATTGCTACTTGATGACGTTGTTGTCTTATAGAAGAACAAGCAGTTGTTGTTATAAACTAAATGTGCATGGAGCTCATACTTATCATTACACAGCTTTTAGAAACCAACTGATGAGGCTCTCTATGAAAACTTGATTCATAAAAAAAGA